ATATCCATGGCCTAGAGGGTATAAAGTGCCAGAATTCTCACTGTTTACTAGTTTAGGAGAGATATCTACTCTAGAACACATAGATCGATTCACGTTGCAAAGTGGTGATGTAACCGATTACCATAAAATGAGACTTTTCCCCAGTTCGTTAACAGGAGAAGCTTTCTCCTGGTTCATTAACTTTCCAGCGAACTCTGTTCAAACATGGCAACAACTGGAACAGTTGTTTCATGCTCAGTTTTACAAAACTGAATCTGAAGTCAACTTGGCTGATTTGGCGAATTTACGTCAAATGCCAAATGAATGGACAGAAAGTTTTCTCCAAAGGTTCAAACAGCAAGAAGCAAGTGTTTTGTACCTCTGCCCGAAAATTAATTTGTCAAGATCGCACAAGGCTGCTTGAGCTTTGATTTAAAAAAAAAGTTCCAGGACAAGGAATTTCCAGACCTTTTCCAGTTGAGTGCGAATGTGATTAGGTATGAGCGACTGATAAGAGAAGAAGAACAAATGAAAACTTCTAGTAAAGAGACTTATTACAGAGACCCAGATTTTGACGTTCATACCATCGATGACGAATCATACGATCAGGCCGAAATGTGTTTGGCCGAATTAGTAAAAGGGGATACCTATACTTGTCCCATAATGGCTAAGCCTAGATCATCGGGCAAAGATGAGCCCATAAAGGATGGAAATATAAAGGCTAGAACGTTCTCGTTCGATGTGACCAAAGCTGACCTTATATTCGATAAATTATATAGGGATAAGCAAATAAAGTTGAGCGATAAGCACAAATTGCCAAACCCTGAACAAATAAAGGGTAAAAAATATTGTAAGTGGCATAATACATGGTCACATTTGACTAACAATTGCTTGGTTTTTCGTCACGTATTGCAGGATGCTATTGAATCAGGACGAATTACGTTCGACGATAAGAAAAAGATGGCAGTGGACGAGAATCCTTTCCCACAGCCACTTGGGGTAAATATGGTAACGTCTGGGTTCAAGAACAAGTTGCCAAAATTTAAGTTGGTCATAGACGATGGAGAAGAAGACACTAAAACACATCCCAGTGTCTTCGAACGAATTAAAGGGAAAGAACCAAAAAAGGACGAAAACGTCCTGTGTGCAAGGTGTAAAAGGGAAGTAAATGGAGATACGGAGAAACCAGGGACATGGCAGCATCCTCATTGCCCTGCCTTCTCCCCAAACATTCAGCCTGGCAGAGGGCGAGGTACATCATTTTATAGAGGACCACCTTTCGAAAGGCAGTTCAGACCAGCAGATACTGGAAGAACATTC